TTGAGGGTTCCTATGTGATAGTAGTTAGTTTGACCAGCTATTTTGTTTGTATAGAAGAGGAAATAAGATGAAGGATGGTGATGGATAATACTAGAGTAAATTGAGAGAGAGAAATTTAAGGTTTCTGTGAGTGTACAGTGCAAGTTACAGTGCAGTTTTCAGTGATGCTCAGAGATTATAATATTAGAGAAAGAAGTCTAGTTGAAATCAGGAATTGATGAAAGTTGGCAGAGAGTACAAATTTGCAAAGCTTTGGGATAAGAAAGACGTGAATTGGCTCAGATTGATAGGAGAGGTGAATGTAAATTTTTGATCTAAAGGTACAGAAAAGTACAAAAGGTTTCTGATCTAAAGGTTTCAGAAAAGTACAAAACTGCAGCATTCCTTTTTTTTGTATTTTCCTTATCAATAAAAAGTAATAACCAGCTATAATTTGTTGTGACAATTATAATTTCAACTAAGCTTTCCTTTTAATTGTAATCTTTTTTTTAAGATTTATTTATTTATTTATACAAGCACTGGGTACAGTCTGAAGCGCAGGAGGGTGAGAGGATTCATCAGAGCCAGAGCGGGGAGCAGAACAGGCAGACTGATGAAATACACTGGCGAGGGGAGCAGCGGGCACGGCAGGAGAGGGCCGCCATGCCATGTGGGAACCTCACCCTGTGGCCGGGGATTGAACCAGCGCTGCAGAGGCTGTGGGCAGATTTGCAGCCCAGTGCTCAACTGCTGCGTCACCAGGGAAGCCCTGTAATCTTATTTTATTGAGGTAATATTGGCTCATAATTTTATAACTGTCACAGGGTTTATAAATGAAGCTGTATTTGATTCTTCTTTCTACATTTGCCATTTACTTGAATTTCTAACATTTCTGCCATCCCAAACCCAGAGGTGATTTTTTTATTGCTTCAACCATTACAACTGTAGGGTGACAAAGTAATCTATTTGCCACAGATTTTCTGTTTTAGCACTGAAAATCCTGTTTCAGGAAACTCTTAGTTTGGGAAAACCTGGACTGTGTTACCCTACAAACTCCCAGCTGATTTGGATCTCCTGTACCTGGCATTCCATCTTTCCAGCCCATCTTCTACACTTTTGCCAGAACGATCTTTCTCAAACACAAATATGGTAATATCTCTTCCCAGAATCTTTCAGTGACTTCCATAAAGTTCATTCAAAGCTCTGTGATTTGATTGCATCTACCTTTTTATTCTCTTTCTCTCCCACTACTTTCTTCTGCTCTCATCTCCCATTCCTCCTTCCCCATCATCTCACTCTGTTCCAGCTAAGCTAGGTCACCTATTATTTCGTCCTACAGGTCATTTATTTTTATACTATAGGAGTTTTGAATGCTATTCATTAATCTCTACAATTTTCACATCTTTTCTTCTCCTACAACTTACCCACCTTCATGATGTTTCCTTCAAGTTGCTTTTCTAATTTTCTTTTGTACAGAATTCATCTTTCAGTTCCACAAAAAATTCATTCTTATCTACTTACTGTACATTATAATCTGTTATTGTTAGCTGTTCTGATGTCTATCTCCCCTTAGTGACTATAAATTTTGACAAGCTATGAAGATTTAAACAAAGTAGCATATAATTCAAGCAAAGTAAGATTAAAATTTTCTTTCCCACAGTCAGCATCTCTATTTTTTTCCTCCAAATCTGTCCTTACAGGGACCCCCCAAAAATGTAGTTGGCTTTGACTTCTCTGGCTTGTTTGAAGTGCTCTTTTAAAATTCAATAGCAGCAGACTGACATGGTGGAAAGAACTGAGTAGGAGACCTACAAGTATGACTTCTCACCCTTGTTTCACCATATGCTAACCCTGTGGCTTTGAACAGGGTAGTGTTCATCAGTTAATTTTCTCAGATAGAATCTATGGTATGAGTGTTGTTGGTATCTTTTCCTTTTACCTCATAAGGATGATATTGTATGAACTTGAGGAGTTATTATTATTCTGTCAGTTCTTGTCATGCATAATTAAGATGTTGGAAAATTCAAAATATTCCCCTCAAGACAATAATATGCTTCTTAGTGACATAAATTACAACACATAATTGTTCATTATCTACAAAACCTAGCACAGAGTTCATAGCATGGTGTTGAGTAAATATATGTCTGTTGGGTAATAGCTTCCAAGGAAACCAGAGTCCTCAAAAAGCCATGGAAAAAGTAAATAGATTTATCTTTTCCTTTATGCTTACTTTCCAAGTGTGGAGACCTTTGTAAACTACAGATTTAATCTTTTAATGTAATTCTATTTCCCAAATGCATATGTGTTAAGAAGCCATTTGCTGATGAGATAAAGCAGGTATACTCTTTGTAGAACAACAATCAACAAATCTAAGGGGTTGAGATGTTTTTGAAAGAAGATCACTAGACTACCCTCTTCTTGAGGTCCAGATAATAGTGATGGCATTCTGACTACACAGCCTAAAGGCTATGTTGATTTTGACCCATAGGATATGTCTGAGCATCATTGATTTCTAAATTGGCTATTTTACTCTTTTCTTAGACTTCTATGGGCACAAATTTTAAATTGGAAAGGATGTGTGTAGGTAATAATGATGATAATGTCCAAATCAGAAGACACCACCTTAGGGAAATAGCAGCAAAATTATATCAATTGACATACCAGTTTCTGTATTTTTGCTTAATGATTCCAATCAGGAACTTTAAACTATAGTGTATGCAATTCAATCCAACTAAGCAATTGGTGCTTACTAAGTAGCAGGATATGTCCTGACTGCATGGTGATGAAAAAAATAGATCTGTTATAATATCAAAGGAGTTAACAGCAAGTGGATAAAATAGCCAATAAACAAGTAAACAGACATTTAAATTATAAATGTTGACAGAAAAAAATAAATTATATAAGAATATTTAATATTGTGTAGAATTGTGATGATACACTTGGCAGTAAGGGTATTTCTGACCTGAGAACGATGATTAAAAGTAGTTAAGAAGAGCTTAAAAAGACCTGGAGGAAGAGAATTCGAGAGAAGAAATATGTAAAAGGCCTATGTCAGGAATAATTATTTGGCTTGTTTGGAAACTAAAATCAGCTTATATAGCTGAAACATAGCGAATGAGGAAGAGATAGCGTGAGATGTTGAAAGAGACATATCAGATATGACCTTTAGGCCATGGTGAGGTTAAGTCTTCATACAATAAAGAACCAACAAGTGATTTTAAGCAGGAGAATGACATACTATTTCAAAGAAAAATCACTTGGACCACAGTGTGAAAGGGCCAAGAGATGGCATAGTCCCTGCTATTAAGGATTGAAAAAAAATTAAGAGAAAGACTTGTCAATAGAACTTTAATAAGTTTGGTAAAGCAAAGATAGATGTAAGGAAGTATGTAGACAAACATAGATTCCAATTCCAGTATATCCTTTCCACACTAGGCAAGTTTTGTGACTTTGGAGAAACTTATTTAATCTTTCTTGGTTTCAATTTCCTCACTAATATATGGAAATAATCATGGGACTTCTATAAGCATTTATGAAATAATATATAAAGAACACTTAGCATGCAAATATATTATACCCCTCAATAAATGTTAGTGATAATTAATGTTAGTGATAGACACAATGAAAGGAATGGACTGCAGGGGGACAAGACTGAGGTGCAGGAAGTCTAGTAAGGGAGCTGCTACAATATTTAAGGAAAACGATGACAGTAGCTTGGATTAAGTTGGTGATAGTAGAAGTGTAGATGCATTGGAGAGGATTTGAAAGCTTTCTAGGAGGGAGAATTACCTGGTTTCTGATTGGAATATGGGCAAAATGCAGTGATAGGGCCTAGCTGAATCTTCAGTTTCCAGCTGGAGTGTCTGGGAGGAGTCATAGTGCTAACTGAGAAGGAAAGCACAGACCCGGGAGTGAATCGCCAAAACTCAATCCTCTTTAAGAGATAGGAACCAAAGATATGTCTAGATTGAAGGGGAGATTGGCAACACAGAAGGCATAAAACAACTGTAAATAAAGCCAACAATAGAGCCAGAGCCAAAGAAACAGAGAAAAAAACAGGCAAAAGCAGAGAGAAAGAACATCCTCTGAATATAGCCCTTCCATTCAGCATTTTCCTGCAAGTGACTTATTAGGTTGTTCTCCTTTCTTAAATTTCAGAAACATCACAAGTAGTTCAGAGCAAATTAAATGTTTCCCCTCTAAGAGGATTTGTCCTACCCCAAACAAATTTCCCCAGTATCTCCCTATCAAGGGGATTTTGCATTTAATTGTCACCAAACAGATTTGGGGAAAATCCCTCCCTACTCTCTCCTTCCTTGGAAGGCAACAAAAAGTTTTAAAGAACAGGGTATGCAAATCTTGAAGTTTACAATAAACTGTGAATTGCAGAGGCATAAGAACCCACAGGAAAAAAAAAAAAAAAACAACTTGACCTCTAGGTTGCCGTCCTGGCCTAATAAGTCTTTGCTATTTAACAGAATATGCCCCTTTTGGTAAATGAAACTTTGCACCAGTGAAGCAGAAGCAAATACCCATGTCTGTAAAATACAAATGTGGAAGTGTGATTTGGGTGGGTGTGAGCTGTTCTTAGTTAGTGGAATTGTAATGCATTTGCACTATCTTTTCTTGGTCTCTCTCACAGCCTCTGCATGGATCATACATAATACTAAACATTGCTAATATTGAAGTCAAAGTGGGTGGTGAGGAGATGGGTGACATGTATGTTTAGGTCTATCCTGATGACCTCACTGCAGCAAAGCTACAGCTAATGTTGTAAGATTATAAATTACTACTAATAGATTAGGAAGGTTATGCCACAATGTACCCTCCAGATGTCACGACAAGCCCCATTCTATTGAATAGTTCTTCCTTATCAGGGAAAGATAAGTGATGTAGTGGAAATGGCATAAACTTTGGAGTAAATCAGGCATGATAGGAAATCCCATTTTACCACTTTCTACCTTGTTATGTCAGACAACTTACTGATAGAATCTTTGAACCTCATTTTCTTCATATTCACTATGAGGTAACAACAGTATCTACTTTCTAAGGCAATTGTGATAATTCAACTTGATAATGAATGTGAAAAGTATGATTGTAGATTCAAGGGTACATGACTGATAGTTTCAACATGATAAATATTTCCTGCCTTTTAACCTGTGAACATCCCTCCATTTTCCGTTCTAAGTCATACATACATGGGCAAGATCACATGATTCTATAGGACTTATCACAGGCCAAGTGAAGAGGGTGGACTGTGAATCTTTAGAGTAATGGTAGCTCATAATACTGACTATATTTTACTTGTGAATTAATCACTTGGTGTTCTGTTCTTTTATCACATTTCTATTTTCTGAAACAGAGCTTAAAAATCATAGGAATTCATGGTCTCACTCATAGCAGGAATCTAGAAAACTTAAATAAGGGACCAGGAAAATGAATATAAGAAAGTGAAAATCAAAATCAACAAAAAAACTATGAACCAGAGACACTTTTTGGGGGGGGGGGCGGGAGGGGAAGGATTGGGGTCAGAATGGGGCGTTTGCAATTGTATGGGGGAATATAAAATAAAATTTAATATTTAAAAAAAAAAAAAAAAAAAAAATTTGAAAAGAATGAAAAAAAAAAAAATCATAGGAATTCATTATGCTACTTATGAGAAGAAACTAAAATTAGACCACTAATTTTAAATAATCTTAGTTAAAATAAACAAAACAAAAACAATAACATCTCCCTTACCATGCCCAAGGAACAACTCAATTATTTTATTTCTTCCATGTCTGGCTTAAATGCAACATGTCTTAACTACAATATGGATAGAAGAGACGATTGTAAACTTTATCTTGGACAAATGGTGAAGAGAAGAATGTATATAAAGATCAGGCACTTTCTCCTCCCATGTGAAGTTCCAGATCTTTCCTTTAGTTACTCTGTAGTTTTTTTTTAATTTTATTTTTATACTCCCCATATAATTGCAACCCCCTTATTTTGTCCCCAATGCCTCCTTCACCCCTCCCCCCCATAGTGTGTCTCTGGTTCATAGTTGTTTGTTGATTTTGATTTTTTCTTTCTTATAGTTATTCTTTTTCCTGGTCCCTTATTTAGGTTTTCTAGATTCCTGCTATGAGTGAGACCATCCGGTATTTTTCTTTTTCTTTCTGGCTTATTTCGCTGAGCATGATCCCTTCCAGCTCCATCTATGTTGCTGCAAATTGCACGTGTTTATCTTTTTTGAATGCTGAGTAATACTGTGTAGTTTTAATAAACTTTTTCTGGGCCTTGTTTCCTTCTATGTGTATTATAATGACTAAATGACTAAATGATTTTCAGTAGTCCTCTTAGTCTAAGATTCTATAAAAATAGCTCAAGTTAAATAATGGGGTTGTTGCTCTTTTGCCATTCTTATCTGCAGGCACCCTACAATTCCATGGCCAGACCTCGAGAAGTCCTAATGATTATTCTGTATTTCCTATATCCTGTGTGTGATACACAGAACCACACCAAAGCATAAAATAATATTAGGGAAGTCCAGAAAACATTTTCTTCTTATGATGACAGCTTTTAATTGAAAAAATATTAAATCTTAAATTGTTTCACAAAATATCGTTTTGACTGTGGTTTTGCTGGTGTCTTAATTAATGTTCTCTTTGGTAGATAATTTGCATGTCTATGATGTCATACCAGTACAGAATTATCCTTAAAGGGAAAATTGGTCTCTTATTTTCTAAACCATATCAGGGAAAATATCCTAGTACTTCTTCTAAATTCATACATTACTGAAAATATTATTGTGAATTTGGAACGAGCCCTTAGGCAAGGGAGAAAGACAAAGCACAGGAGAACCACCAGCTATCATGATAAAATAATGAGGCAACATTTCCAAGACCTAAAAATCAGCTAGGACATTGGCAACAAAGTTTAAAAAAACAGGGCCATTTTTCAAGTGCTGGGGTGCCACAGTTGTAAAACTCAGTGAGCAAGGTGGCAGACAAAGGAAAAACCGGGGATGGTAAAGATGAGGCTGGATTTCTACCATTACAATTGAAAATGAGCTATATCCACACTAAATCAGGGTTTGAACCAAGAAAAATTTGGAGGCAAAGGAAACAAACTCAAATGCCACATCTTTTTGTTGTTGTGGAGAGAATGACTTAATATTTCAGGACATCCTTGCCTGCAAGACACAATGTAAACAATCTGGGAGGACAGTATGAGGACAATTCCATGGTTCCTTATGTGTACACTGGGCAACCTTGGACCAGTAGTGTATCTTCCTGAGCCCCTGCCTCTTCATCTGTGAAATGGTCCTTTATAATTTTAATGTTCTATGTCTCTTTAAGGATACAAGAAAGATCCAAATGTTGGCTGAAGAACTGGTTAACCATTATATTCTTTGTCTTTCCCTTTGATTTGGGCAGGGATCATAACTTCACAGATTACCTTGATGAGTATACTGAAATATTCAGGATGGGTGAAAACAGCTATAGTGAGACTTGCAATGACACTGATACTAATTTCCGGAGCACGCTTTATGCAACCACCTACATGCTCATTTTCATCCCTGGACTGCTGGCCAACAGTACAGCCTTGTGGGTTCTGTGTCGCTTCATCAGCAGGAAAAATAAAGCCATTATTTTCATGATCAACCTCTCTGTGGCTGATCTTGCTCACGTGCTGTCTTTACCCTTCCGGATTTACTACTATATCAACAACAGCTGGCCTTTCGGGAGCGAACTTTGCCTGCTATGGTTCTACCTGAAGTATCTCAACATGTACGCCAGCATTTTCTTCCTGACATGCATCAGCCTTCAGAGGTGCTTTTTTCTCCTCAAACCCTTCAAGGTCAGAGACTGGAAACGCAGGTATGATGTGGCCATCAGTGCTGCCCTCTGGGTCTTCGCAGGGATTGCCTGTGTGCCGTTCCCCATGCTGAGAATCCATGCAATCAACAGAACTGAAACATGCTTTGCTGATCTTCATTACAGGGAAATGAATGAGGTGTTTTTGGGTGTGTTGATGACACTTGCTGAGCTGGTAGGATTTGTGATCCCAGTAGTCATCATTGCATGGTGTACCTGGAAAACTGCTATATCCCTCAGACGACCACCTCTACCTATCCAGGCGATGACTGAGAACCAGAAAGCACTGCGGATGGTTTTCATGTGTGCTATAGTCTTCTTTATCTGTTTCACTCCCTATCATGTTACCTTTATCTTTTATGCCATGGTAAAGGTAAAGATCATTAAGAACTGTCCCATTATCCAAAGTACACAGTATTTCCACCCATTTTCTCTATGTCTTGCAAGTGTCTGCTGCCTCTTGGATCCAATTATCTATTACTTCATGGCCTCAGAGTTTCGTGACCAACTATCCCGCCATGGCAGCTCTGTGCTCCGTTCCCGCCTCATGAGCAGGGAGAGTGGCTCATCAATGATTGCCTAAAATTAAATAACCTTCATTTATGACTGTTTAACAATGTTCCCTGCCTTTTCCCAAAGGACCGAATGACTATCCAGATGATTTTTTATTTGAGCTTTCAGAGCAAGAGAAAGAAATGTCTCTTCTTGTGTGATAGTTGGGGTCACAGGTGTTATGGTGGAGGCCAAGTGTGGGAGAGGTGGGAAGGCGGGGTTTACTTGTTTCCTCTTTGAAATATGAGACTTTCTTTTCTTAAGAAACATATCCATGGGCCTCCCGGTGGTGCAGCGGGTTGAGCGCAGCGCTGTGAAGCTGTCCGCAGCCTTTGCAGCATGGGTTCGATTTCTGCCAGCCAGGGAGATACCCACATGGTGTGGCAGATCTCTCCTGTCTCACCCGCTGCTCCCCTCAGCATTGCTTTCTGCCCGTCTGCCTGTTCTGCTCCCCGCTCTGTCTCTGGTGAATCCTCTCACCCTCCCATGCCTCTGGCCTGTACCCAGCTCTTGTATAAATAAATAAATCTTTAAAAAGAAGAAACATATCCTGTTTATACAGATGCTTTCAACCAAATGGAAATTGGATATTTTATCTTTAAACATTTCTTCAGTTAATATATCGTTAATAAAATACAATAAATACACAAATATTTCCCTGAACATAAAAGCAAATTTTTTATATATGAACACCTTATTTCTGAAAATTTGTAAATATCTCATCTTTCTAAAAGATAAATACACAGATACAAGAGTGAAAATTGGAACAATGTGTGCATGAATTTCAGAATCACAAATGTATTGTTGAATAAAGGGCATGAAAATTTGTTCTTTTATTTATATGTATTGGATGTCTGTTGTGTTCTGGGTTGCTGCTTTCCTAAATACTTTTCCTCAAGTAAATTTGTGGAAATGTCAAATACATATCGATAAATAGAATCTCATGGAGGTGAAGCAGTTTGCTTGGGGATAAACAGTGGCAAGCCAAAATTTGATCTGTATACACCACATATGCTTGTCATTCCCTCAATTTGGGTTGTTACTTTTACTGGGTCAATAGTAAACTTGACTTGAATGACAAAGAAATAGGTTAAAGTTGTCTAACATTGTCCCCATCTGCAGGGTCTAGAAGATCAAGGATATAGGAGACACCACTAATTCATTATTTCCCACAAAATACATTTAAGAGTTAATGTGAGTAATATAAACCCTATAAATGGATGAAAGAAAGTTGTAAAGCTGAGAGATGAGCATTCTGTGAAATTTAGATTTTCTTGGAACTTCTCAATGAGTTTCTTCTTAAACATTACTGTACATGACTGAATAAATTTGTTTTGTTATGATACATCTCTGCAAGCAGAATTCATAGAATTGTATTAGAAATAAAAAATTATTGCACTATGAAAAAATAGAAAACTATGTGACCTCCTGGCAATCGTCATGTCTTTATTTTTCTAAAGTTTATGACTATTGTTTCAGATCCATTATGGAGTATTTGCATACTAACAATCCTTAGCATCTTATGCTGACATTTATGACAATCCATTACTGTGATCTTTTATGCCTGCAGTTTAAAGTAGCATAAAAACTTGGTGTGGAGGGAGGGGACAAGAAGTGGTAGTCCTCAGAATATTCATTTGAACAGACTGGCTGAGGAAAAGAAAGGGAACAACTAAAAAAGGAGGAATTAAAAGGGAAAAGAGCAAGGTTTCCAGGCAGTGGAGGAGTTTGGTAATTAGAAAATAATGAAAACAGTTTTCTTATGCTCTATTAACCTACATTTGAACACTCTACCCAAAAAGTGTTTCCTGATATGCTTGGAGTTAATGGAAATATTATCAGAATGACTTATAGACAGTCCCACCCTAAGGAGATGGTTTTTAAAGAAACACTTTGGAACTATGCATACTGATATGCTTTTGGAGAAAAGGAATCTCAGTTCACAATAGTTTATATCCCCCCCCTTTCAAGTTGATAAGAGGTCACAGTGCTTCAAGTACAGGGTTTATGAATCAATGGACAAATTAAATTATGTGCCTTTTGTTTTGGCCACCTTTAAAGTGAAATCTTTGGGTATTTTCTGATACATGAATCATCTTTTAGTTAGGGGAAAAAAGTAACCTCAAAGCAAGAAATATATAGTTGGTTCCTGAAGTTTAAAGATTAGGATCCTTTATATAATGCCAAGGGAAAAGGTAGCAATGCTGGAGCTTATGAGGTAACAGCTTAAAAAAATCAGTGAGACTGCTTTAAGGTATTTCAATGAGCAGCTATTTGAAAAGTCATAACTATACTTATTATAGGGACATAATAAAGAAGATAAAAAAACATATATCATTGAATCAGTTTTTCAAAAAGTTACTAGAAAAAGTTTTGTTGCATCCAACTCTTTTTTCTTTCTTTTTATTTTATTTTTAAAATATTTTATTATATATGTATATTTTTTTACACAATTCTTCATTTTTGTACAATGTATGCTTTGTCATCTCGGTTACATTCCCCATGAAATTGTCATCACCAATTCACACATGTATCATCACCATAGTCTCTTGTGCTCTTCCCTCCCCTGTTTTGATCCTACTCCCTTCTCGCCCCCTGCAGAATGTCCCTGGTTTTTAGTTGCCTGTTGATTTTTATTTTTCCTTCTGGTCCCTTATTTGGATTCTCTACATTCCTCCTATAAGTGAAACCTTCTGGTATTTTTCTTTTTCTTTCTGGCTTATTTCACAGACCATGATCCCTTCCAGCTCCATCCATGTTGCTCTGAATGGCATGAGTTTATCTTCTTGATTGCTGAATAATATTCCATTGTGTATATATAGCACATCTTCTTGATCCAGTCGTCTATTTTGGGGCATTTGGGCTGTTTCCATAGCATACTGTAAAGTAAATGATTTTCAGGCTTTTCTTTCCTCCTGCCATTAGGATTGCCCAGCATGATGGGGCACCTGCATTTGTTACATTGTTATAAGTTATGTTCTTTACTTCTGTGGGCCATGGCAGCAGTATTGAGATTTTTGCCAAGAGAAGCAGAGGCAGGAGAAAGAACAGGAGAGAACTCCAGAAGTGAGAAATAAGCCCAGAGTGAAGACTTGCCCAGGGCTTGGAGGCCTGCCGGCCTCCTGGCCCCCCAGCACCCCTGCCTGCCTTGAATCTGGTTGCTGCACTACATGTAAAAGCTCAGTAAAAGCCTCAGAAAGCCAATGAGGGCTCCAGGACTCTCCTTTACCCAGTCTGCTCAAATCATAAAGAACCAGCTCTGTGCCCATCCTGCCTACTACACTTACTTATTGTAAATAGTGTTGCAATAAACATAAGAGTGCAGGTGTCCTTTTGAATTAATGTTTTTGTGTCCTTTGGACACGTACCTAAGAGTGGAATTGCTGGATCATATGGAAGCTCCATTTTTAGCAGTTTGAGGAACCTCCACACAGCTTTCCATAGTGGTTGGACCACTTTACATTCCCATCAGTAGTGTAGAAGAGTTCCTTTTTCTCCTCATCCAACTCTTTGCAAGAAAATTTTCAAAATCCTGTAGAAACCATTCAGAGTCTCATAACCCTGATTAAAGACTCTTTAACCTGATCATTTTAGTATGAAAGGCAAGAGATTTTGAAGGCTATAAAAACTTTATACAACATTTTAAATTACCTTAAATGCAGTTCATGCATGATTGGTTATGCTGTTTACCTTTAGAGAGCTTTTATTACCAGCACAGACTATAGACATAGCATTTATCATAGCTTAAATAAAATTATTCTGTGGAGTATTTGGTCATTTTTATAAAACAGTGAGAACCAGATTTTTATTTAAATATTTTTCTCTCATATTAGAAAATTGCTTATAAGAAAGTCAGTTTTCCCCTTACATCATTCTGCATATTTCCAAAGACTATAACCCAACATAAAAGTAAGGCTACTGTTAATAATAGAAATTTAAAACCATATTCCTCTTTTAAATAATAAGTAGCTTGAGTGGCATGTTAACTCTTTGGAGTTAATACTGTGACTTTAAGTACATTATAAATGAAATGCATACTTACAAATACAAGTGTGTTAATTCCTTCTAAGGATCTCAGAAAGTTAATGTCCAAAATTTCTAAATTTACCACCAATGAATAATTTAGATACCTTCAATCACTTATGTTTTAATCATTAACCATCATTTTGGCTTTAGAACAGAAAATATGTTTGTATTTTTCACATAGGTATTAGTTTTTTTCAGTAAATTATAAGTACAGAATTTTGAATATACAGAATTGATAAAGCAGGGAGGGAACAATTGTTTACAGAAGTTGAATTTCAACTAAACAGAAAGAAGGGGGTGGCAAAATTCCAGGAGCAGTTAACATAGCCTAGTAGACTTTCAGATCTTCTGGAGTTGGGAGGCATATTTCCATGACTTGATAAGTTGCATTTTAACTGGGTTTTGTATGATGGAAAAGTTTTCAAATTGTCACTAAATATACCCTGAGTGAAGAGTGGAAAAATCAAAAGCTGGGAGGTGACAAATACTAAATACACAAATTATGTGCCTTTCATTTGTCTAGAAATACACAGGGTAACAGTAAGCAATATTGGTATCAAATTTAGAGGCCTAAAATATGAAAAACCTTAAGTTCCAGATATGGGATTTGGACTTTTATGTGGTAGGGTGAGGCAAAATGGATCATAAAAATAATTTTAATATGAAAAGCTTTTATTTAACATGTCTAGAGAAATAATGATTTGATGTAAGAGTATGGGCAATAGTGGAATGTATACATTATTGAGGTTAGAATTATGTAGATAATTCCACAAACATATGCATGAATGTTCATAAATATACAACAGAAATAACTATTACATACTGAGTCTATGTGACGAACTTTAAATGGATTGTCATATTAAATTCTCACATGAACTCATGAGGTAGATAGTATAATTATCTTCACCTTCCAGGTGAAGAAATTCAAGTATAGAGAGGGTAAGCAACTTGTTCAAGGATATATACCAATATGTGAAATGACTGGGTTTATAAATTCTGGAAGTTTGACTCTGGAGTACATGTGCTTTGTCACTGTGTTCGTCAATATCTTCCTACAATACAATTAATTTCATGGGAAAGGTCACATATTAAAGAGGTCTTCCCATTCATTAAAAAATATATTTAGAATGCATTGGGATTTCTTCCACATTTTGCAGC